ATGTAGGAGGCCGCAAATGTGGTGCTTTCATAGACATTGGTTCCACGCAGAATTACGTAAGTCGCGACTGTTTGGAAAGGCTGCACCTACAGGACCGGGTACAACACCTTAGTAGACCTGTAGCATCTACTTTGGCCAATAAGGAGCGCATGATAGTCACAGACTATATCAAGGACGTAGTTTGTACCTTCTCCTATGGAGGAGGGGAACTTAATCATAAGATTTCGTTCCTTGTTAGCAACGACTTACCATTCGACATGTTGTTAGGCATGTACTACCTTGAGGTTTCCAAGCCCCGATTTGACTGGGACAAGAAGGTGCTAAAACATAAGTTGCCCGATGGCAGAACAGTTAGATTAACTAAGTTAAAAGTCAGTAGCATAATAGATACCTATGGCTGCTTGTGTGCATCAGCGTTCTATAACTATTACAAACAGAACCAAGAGGAGGGTATGTACCTAGTATATGTCTCTGAGAAAGGGGCGGCCGTTAAAACTCCCCCAGAGATAGAATATGTCGTTGCTAAGTTCCCTGATCTGTTCGAGGAGCCTACTGGAGTCGTAGAAAGGGAGGTTGTCCACGCCATAGAAATCATTCCAGGGAGTAAAACCCCAAAGGGAAGGATCTATAGGATGGCTCCGGCCGAGTTGGACGAACTTCGGCGACAACTGAAAGAGCCGACAGAGAAGGGATGGATCCGACCGAGTACTTCCCCCTACGGATCGCCAGTACTATTCGTACCAAAGAAGGTGGGTACATTGAGGATGTGCATTGACTGTAGAGGCCTCAATGCCATCACAGTGAAGAGCGCAGAGCCTCTACCTCGCATAGACGACCTATTGGATAGGGTGCAAGGATGAAAGTACTATAGCAAGATAGATTTAAAATCCGGCTACCATCATATCGCAATAAGACCTGAGGATCAACACAAGACTGCATTTCAGACCAGATATGGTCTTTATGAGTTTGTTGTGATGCCCTTTGGCCTTTGTAACACGCCGGGTACATTCCAGCACGCTATGAATAAAATCTTTCATGACCACCTAGATAAGTTTGTCGTTGTCTACTTAGACGATATCCTTATCTTCAGTAAGTCTATCGAAGAGCATGCACAGCACGTTGAGACTGTACTCTCACTCTTGCGACAACACAAGGTCAACCTAGAGAAGTGTGAATTCGGACGTACTAAGATCTTATACTTGGGTTATGAAGTGTTCGCGGAAGGGATTAGGCCAGAAGATGCGAAAGTGGGTAGTATAAGGGACTGACCACGACCTCAGACTGTTACTGAGGTCATATCTTTCTCACGAATGTGCGGCTACTATAGGAACTTCGTAAAGAACTATTCTACAGTCGCCTCTCCTTTGACAGATCTAACTCGACTTGACACGCCGTGGGACTGGAGTGATGAGTGCGAGGCTGCTTTCAAACGATTGAAGCATGCACTCATGAATCATGAAGTTCTCATGGTTCCCGATCCTCGAAAGCCATTCGTAGTAACCACTGACGCCAGCCAATACGGCATTGGCGCAGTGCTGGCTCAGCAGGATGGGAAGAAGTTGAGACCGATTGAGTACATGAGCAAGAAAATGCCACCGAAGAAATTGGCTAAGTCCACCTATGAAAGGGAACTCTATGCTCTCTACAAGGCACTTGTCCATTGGAGACACTTTCTATTGGGACGGTTCTTCTACTTGAGAACTGACCATCAGACGCTCAAATGGATCAAGACTCAACCGGCTCTTTCTGATGCACTCAAGCGCTGGATTGAGGTCATAGATCAGTATGACTTCAAGCTTGAGTATCTGAAGGGAGAGTACAACAAGGTTGCAGATGCGCTATCTCGTAGAGCAGACTACCTAGGGGCACTAGTTTCTGAGTTTGGTGTATCTCAGGAAGTAACTCAATCGTTGGTGGGAGCCTATCAGGAAGACCCTGTCATGATGGACATCATGCACAAACTTCAGGCAAAAGACAAGGCCACAAAAAGTGAGTTTGTGATGGTGGATGGGTTACTCTTTCGTGATAAGGCCGGGTGTAAAAGGTTAGTAGTTCCATCAAGTGAGAGTTTGCGTAGTTTATTTCTAATAAAATGTCATGACGCAACCGGACACTTTGGCTACAAAAAGACGAGTGCCAATCTAGTACAACGATTTTGGTGGCCTGGAATGGTAGATGACGCAAAGAAGTATGTAGAGACCTGTCAGGTCTGTTAGCAGGACAAGCCGCGAACTCAAGCACCGCTTGGGTTGCTGAAGCCCTTACCTATCCCCGCTGGTCCAGGACAGAGTGTTTCCATGGATTTCATGGACACCCTGGTGACCAATAAGAGTGGCAAGAGGCACATTTTCGTCATCATCGATCGATTCACCAAGTACGCTAGACTAGTTGCCATGCCAGAGACCGCTAGGACGGACCACGTCATCAAGTTGTTTATGGACAACTGGGTGCGTGATTTTGGACTTCCAAAGTCAATCGTTAGTGACAGAGATGTCCGATTCACAAATGAGTTGTGGAAGAAGACTGTTGAGCAGATGGCCAGTCAACTTCAGATGACTTCAGGGAATCATCCCGAAGCCAACGGGCAGGCCGAACAAATGAACAGAGTTGTGCAGCATTGCTGATGCATTACATCAAACCCATCCATGATGATTGGGATGAGAAGTTGCCTCTCATCGCCAGCCTGTACAACAATGCTGTACACAGCAGTATTGGCGTCGGTCCTAATCAGCTGCACTTGGGATGGAGGCCTAGATCAGCTCTAGACTTCCTCCTACCTGAAAACCGATCCTCTGCAACTCCAGGCACACTTGAGTATGGTGTGCAGTATGAGAAGTTGCTGCAGCAAG